CCTCTTCCTCTTCTTCCTCTTCTTCCTTCCTCTTCTTCTTCCTCCTCCTCCTCTTATTCTTCCTCTTCTTCCTCTTCTTCTTGTTCCTCCTCCTCCTCCTCCCCTTCCTCCTCTTCCTCCTCTTCTTCCTCTTCTTCCTCCTCTTCTTCCTCCTCTTCCTCCTCCTCCTCTTCTTCCTCTTCTTCTTCTTCTTCTTCCTCCTCCTCCTCCTCCTCCTCCTCCTCCTCCTCCTCCTCCTCTTCTTCTCCTTCTTCTCCTTCTTCTCCTTCTTGCTCCTTCCTTGCTCCTTCTCCTCCTCCTCCTCCTCCTCCTCCTCCTCCTCCTCCTCCTGCTTCTGCTTCTGCTTCTGCTTCTTCTTCTGCTTCTCCTTCTCCTTCTTCTGCTTCTTCTGCTTCTTCTGCGTCTCCTTCTCCTTCTTCTGCTTCTCCTGCTCCTCCTTCTGCTCCTCCTCCTCCTACATCTTCTTCTTCTCTTCTCCTCCTCCTCTCCTTCTTCTCCTCCTTTCCTCCTCCTCTCCTTCTTCTCCTCTTCTTCCTCCTCTTCTTCCTCCCTCCTCCTTCTCCTCCTCCTCCTCCTCCTCTTCTTCCTCCTTCCTTCTTCCTCCTCCTCTTCCTCCTCCTCCTCGTCGTCGTCGTCTTCTTCTACTAATAAACGACCCAGGTGTTTTATTATGAGGAATGCATTGTGAGTTTTGAGGGGCAAGGGAAGGGGGTCCAAATGGAACATTCCCATGATTCCCTATTAAATCGGGACTGGGGCTCTGGCTGCCTGCACTTGTTACATGCTGAGCCTGCACACGCGCCCCATCTTGGGGGCCCGTCGTCGTCTTCTTCTTCTTCTTCTTCTTCTTCTTCTTCTTCTTCTTCTTCTTCTTCTAATAAACAACCCAGGTGTTTTATTATGAGGAATGCATTGCGAGTTTTGAGGGGCAAGGGAAGGGGGTCCAAATGGGACATTCCCATGATTCCCTATTAAATCGGGACTCGGGCTCTGGCTGCCTGCACTTGTTACATGTGTATGATGCTGTTTGATTTCTGAAGTTCGCTATCGCTCATTTTCCTTGCAGTGTGCTATTACCCCCCCAAAAAAAAGAAAACAAAAAGTGTTTGCTAAATTGCTACTATGGTAGACGGGTATTTGGGCACTTCCTTTTCAACCACACAAATGTGTAGGGGATCTTGCACCTGAAAGGCACAACAAAAATGAGAAGTAAAGATGGAGGGAGGGTTAAAAGTTTAAAACTTAAAAGGCACAATGAGAATGGGAAGTGAAAAGGGAGGGGGAGTGCACCAGGAGCATATGGCATGTGTGCGCACCTGAAGACACCCTCCCTATATGGGTCGCCCCACAAGTTGGCGACGTTGGGAGGGGGGTGGTTGGTGGGTGGGTGGGTGGGTGGGGAGGGAGGTGGGAATGGGGCTATAGAGTCTAGACTCTATGGGACGTCCTGACCTTGAGAGGTGTGATTATGTGTGAGGGTGTGTATGTGCTTCAGGATATTTTATTATTTTTCCAGAAAAATATGTGCTGCTGTCGCAAAAGGTTGGATTTCCTTTAGAGAATTATTGGCCCGAGCGATCACTTTTCTGCAGCTGCTGTTTTGGTGCAACAAACCTTGAGAGGAGGTGAATGGAGGCCTCGAATCTCAATTTTTAGACAACTTGTCATGCCATTTATAACAAAACTCAAGGGTCATTTTAACCCAACTTGCCACCAATTCATAGAGTGGAGATCATAAATTGCAAGGAAGATGAGCAATAGCGAACTTCAGCAATCAAACAGCATCATACATATGAGTCCAGATAGTCGTGACCTCGAACCAACAGCAGAATTGCATCACGAGATTCACCAAATAAGAACACACCAAGA